CATGATCCTGGCATTCTGGGATCCAGCCCCGCGTTGGGCTCCCTGCTCCTCGGGGAACCTGCTTCTCCCTCTCCCTCTGCTTCTCCCCTCTGCTCATGCTCTCTGCTCTCTCTGTCAAACAAACAAACAAACAAACAAATAAAATCTTAAAAAAAAATAGCTGGCTCCCGTAAGGATACTCCACTAAAACGACATAAAAGTATCCCAAATTTCACTGGTTATAGCTTCCTGTGCTCGGGAACTTTAAATTTTTTTTTTTTTTCCTGCTGAGGTTTCTAGCTTTTCTCTGGAATTGTTAAGGCCTCCAAGCTAGAGCTCTTGTTTCAGCTGAGTGTATCTACTTCCAAACTATGCTGTCATTTCCTTACGGGCTTTAGGATTAGCTTCCCTCAGCACTTCTGGTCTCATCAGAAAGTAGAAATACACCTGCTGGAGAACATTATCTATTTTCTTGCCTTCTGTCATTCATCTAGCTGGTGCAAGCAGGGAAGCCTTCAGATTCCTTGGAATAAAAACTAGTTATACTTCTGGCACAAGACAGTTCCACTTTTCTCTGCTTATCTGCATAAACAGTCATGCAACCTAATGAGGCAAATATAATGTTATTCAAGTATTGCAGAGTCCCTTTTTTCAGCTTGCCCAGCATCATTCTCCTTCCTGAAATCTACCTCAATAACTTTGCCTCAAGATCTTTAATTACTCTGTAAACATGCTTTGTTCCCTCGATAGCTTTCTAAATATTGATTTTTGAATCTTAATTAATGTTCAGACTATTAATTGAATGTTTGCCACCCACACTTAAAGAAATGAAAATTCCGTATGAGATGCTTGGTTTCCTCCTCACACCGTTATTAGTATCTAACTTCATAGAGTTTTGAGTTTTATACAGAGCTTGCCCAGAGACGGCTCTACTTGATCCTCATAAGGTTATTTTCAGGCTCAGGTTTTGCTCTGAGCTTGGCATGAGAAGTGTGCATAAATAAAACTGATTTAGGTATGGATGGCACAACAAGTTGTTCGCCTGGTATATTTGCTCTAATCGTAATTTTTTTAAATGTGAATATTGGCTCTATACTTAAACAAATTTGGTGCATTAATGAAGACTTTACAGAAGTCAGTGATAAAAAGCACAGAGCTCCAGATTCCCCTTATAATTCTCATGTAAACACTTTATGCCACTTGGTGAATTAAATAAAATTTCTCTTCTGTCAGTTGCGTTCATTCACTTTTCAAGTACATACAGAAGGTCTCCTCTTAGCCAGGTGTTCTGCAGACTCTGGTGGCTGTTCATACTTCCTGTGGCCCATCACAGTAACCGTGTGAAGGCTAAGGTGACTTGACCCAGATAGTCACCAAAAGAAAGGTCTGTTTTGGGGGCGCCTGGGTGGCTCAGTCAGTTAAGCGCCTGCCTTCAGCTCAGGTTATGATCTCAGGGTCCTGGAATCAAGCCCCGCATGGAGCTCCCTGCTCAGCTGGGAGTCTGTTCTCCCTCTGCCTGCCGCTCCCCCTGCTTGTGTGCTCTCTCTTGAATAAATCAATAAAATCTTTAAAAAAAAATTTTTTTTAAAAGATCTGTTTCTGAATTTATAGGATATTTTAGGGTATGAAAACTTTGTGTTATATTTTAAAAAATGGTATATCAGTTATAATCATATCTTTAAAAAAATATTAATCCTTCCAAATTACTTAATAGCTATTTCCCCGGTTGACATCATGTTTTAAAAGAGTTCATCTGCCAAATGCGTTCATTGGGTGATTATTTTCTCATTAGTATTTACTGAAAACCAAACAAATAATTGCCACTCTGAATAAATGGAGTTGATATGTTGCCAACAGCACCACCCCCCTATAAAAAGATGTACATTTATTTTCTTTTTTTCTTAGGCTGGGGATCATGATTGTGGACAAATACACGATTTCCACTATTTTAAAATACTAAAAGTCTCCATGACTGAATGGCCTTTACTGATCTAATGGAATTCCTTCATTTATTAATATTCTATTAATACGGTGTTTTTTCCATTCACCTGCCAGTTTGTAGTTTAACTGGAACTAGCCAGCCTCTTTTCTGAACATCTCCTTCTAGTGTTGCACGAATGGACATCGTCTCTGGAGGGTAGGAATTGACTCAGAAAAGGAAACAAATTTATGGCTTTCATAAAGACTCAAGGTGCTTTTCTACTTAACTCAAGTGGTTGTTTCTCAGGCCTGAAGTGTTTGCTGTATTTGATGACTCTAGGTGTTAATTTATGTCCTAATGGTTGTTAGGGTGACAGTTATTGGGGATGGGGGGCAGCGCAAGTGCAGCTGAGCCAGAGTCCAGGCAGCCCTCATGTCCCCACCCCCACCCGCCAAGTTCCCACCCAGCCTCTTCCCCTCCCCCCACTTGCCAATCAAATCTTTCATCTTATTTTCCCTAAACTGAGATCAAATGATAAGTTGTGCTGGTTCACAACCGCTTGACACTAGCGTGGGGATATTTGGGTACCGTGCAGAGTTAGAGAGCCTGGCATAGCAAAACGTGTTTGGCAATAATTTCAGGTCCTCTAGGGAAAACAGTGCCTTGGACTATTCATGATGAAATGATACAGATCATTGCCTGTATTGATGGTTAAGTGATAAGTGAGAACCTGGGATTTCCATGAACTTGCATAAGAGATCTCGACAATTCGGTTTCCTTAAACCCACACTTGACCTTTCTCCTATAACACATGGGTCACCTGTAGACTCTGTTTTAACTGAGGAGGTGCAATCTCCTCGTATCATGTCCTGTAACTAAAACTAAATATCTAGAGTTGTTGATACAGACGTGTTAATATACAGTTAGCAATTTGTGATGAGGTTATTGATGAGTTTCGCTTTCTTCATTTTTTCTGGATGTATTTCCAGGTTTTTACAATGAATATACATTTCTTTTTAATCAGGAAATAATCATTTATAAAAGAAGTTACAAAAGTACAAGTATAAGAATCCCACATATATTCTTGCTATCCCTAGGTAGGTTTTACTCAGTATGTCCTGTCTGAGTACCTGAGAGTATAATAATGAGCCCTTACATTTGTATAGGTCTTGATGAAGAGTTTCTCACATGGGACAAATAACAATACTTAATCAACTCAGTAATGGTGACGGGATAGCCAGTCATATCACAAGGAAATTGTGGGTTAGCTATTTTATCTCATTTGCCAAAAATTAGCAAATTAGCAGATGTAAAGCAGTATTTCCGAATCCTAACACAGTTTTCCTTTTTTATATGCAATCATTTTTTTCCATGTGTATAAAGTTCTGCTAAATCCCATGAAACATATGAGGAAATATAAGTCCTAGTTCCTGCCATCAAGCAGGTTACAATATAGTTGGGGTACAAAGATAAGTGCTGACAGAATTAATTAGTAATTTAATTAATGACGTAATTAAAAGTGCAGTGTGTAATACAATGCCTGGCACATAGAAGGCACTCACGCAATGTTGGATGGATGCACAGATGCATGGATGTGTGGGTAGATGGATGGCTAGATGTGCAGAAGGGCAGATGGACTGACAAATTGATTATAGTTATAGGGACTTGAAAAGAGAAAAGTTCCTTCATGACAGATGGCTGAGTTTCTGTAAATGTCTATTGACTTTTATTGGTCAGAGAATTTTTCAAGGAGAAGACAGACTAGCTAAGACTTCCAGAACTTAGGAGTAGAATGCGACTCTGCAGAGAGCAGGAGGGAGGGAATTCCGGGCCAAGGTCTCAGCATGAGCCAAAGCAGTGAGGCAGAAAGAGCAAGGTATGACTGGGAACTGTAGAGGAATGGAAGGAACCCTAAAGCCCGGGTTTTGGTGAGGATGTTGTTGTGCAAGTAGAATGGGATGATATCATAGAGTGTCTTGAACTTCAAGCGGAAGTACTGAAATAATCCATAAGCATGGACAGCGACAGACATTTTCATGTAAAACAATGTTATAAGGAAAATGTTTTAGGCAACAAATCTGGTAGCAATATGACTTTGTGTTAAATATAAAGATAGGAGACGGTTTAATACAGGGTGGAGATTTTTTAAGTATTCGCTGGGATTTTAAAGTATTTTTTAAAAAGAACTACACATGTGGATATTGCTATATCATCGTTAAAATATTCCTATATGTAGGAAACAAACTGAGGGTCGCTGGACGGGAGGGGAGTGGGGGGATGGGGCAAAAAAAATTAATTAATTTTAAAAAATATTCCTATATGTGATTGAAATTTCTGAGACCGTTATATCAAATTCAGATTTAGATCAATAGGTGTTCCTACTGAGAACCAAAAGATTACAACATTCGAAGACACTGGCATAAAAGTCTAGAGGCCTCCAAATATTGCATGCATAAAGTTTAATCAATCTTTCATATGCTGGAGGCATGGTAATAATTGTTGTCTTCCGAGATGTTCGGCCTAACTCCTGGATATGTCAGAAAACTGGTATTTCTTGCATGTACGTTCTTGCTGCACCAGGAGAGGGTGTAAAGACTGTCCCTTCTCTTTAAACCTATTCATTATCTTACAAAATTGATGAGGTCATCACTCGAAGTGGTTAACAATTAAGGCCTTGGAGCAAAACTCCGTGGGTTAGAATCCAGCTCAACCACTGAATTGCTACTCGGTCTTAGGTCTCTCTCTGTTCCTCAGTGTTCTCGTCCCATGAATGATGATCACAATAGCACCAACATCTTAGGATCGTGGAGGGGGTTACACGGAGAAAGACAGTCTAGTGCCTGCCACGTGGTAATAATCCATAAATGATAGTCCTGTTACTAGTCCTAATACATCATCACTGAATAACAGACATCTGTTTTATGATCTTGTTAAGTTTGTTCACATGTGTTGTTTTATTTGTCTTTTGTTTTTTAATCATGCCTAGAAAGAACGCTAGGATCCCATAGGAATGTGTCTGGGCTCTCGGCCAGAACTCAACATAGACAGCCTAGGTTGATCCTAACTTCCATGAAGCTGACCAGCCTCTTGCCTCCCATAGTGAGCCACCTGTATGGATTTGGACTGATGGATGCGGAAGCCATGGTGACGGAAGCAGAGAAGTGGACCACTGTTCCTCAGCAGCACGTGTGCGTGGAGAGCACAGACCGACAAATCAAGTAATGCTCGCGGCAAGCAGACGGCGTAGCAATTTCCTGAAAGAGATCAGCACAAGTGCTCCAGACGGCCCTTTGTTGTCCGTGGAAGCCAAAAGCTTGTGTCTTTTTTTTTTTTCTTCTAACATAATTGTAAAATTCTCATAGAATGTCTAGGATGCTAAGCTGTTAAATCCACATAATAGGACCCAAGGATCCTTAAAAGCATCTCTTAACAGGGGATTTGGAGGACCCCTACAGACTGGCGTTCTTAAGATTTCAACTCAGCCAGTATTTCTATTTCATGGTGCAAGTGTTCTCCCTAAGTTAGAGTACTCCAAAAAACTAAACTTGATAGTCTGGAAACCGAACCCTATAACGTGTAATTACGAATTATTTTTAGCATGGTATATAAAGGTAACAATAGGTTGGAAGTAAAACAGATAGAAAATAAGAAGTAGGGGGCATATCTTTCCTATGGTTCAATGACAGTCTCAGAGAGTGAAATTCAAGTTTTGACCACGAAGGAAGAAGGAGAGTCAGCCATAGGAACAACAGCAAAGCAAAAAAAAAAAAAATTTCAGGCAGAGTCTCTGAGGTGGGAAACGAATCACCCCCAAGGTGAACTGACGTCAGTGTGACGGGAGCCCAGTGTTCATGGGGGACGGTGGAAGCTAGGGAAGAAGCCAGGAATGTTCAGGCCAGAGGAGGCCTGTGCCCCATGGGTTACAGAGCAAGGAAGTGGTAGACCAGGGATTTGAACCAAGGTCATGGCAATCCCCAAGCCTCCCCCATACCACCGTACCCTCTACCAGTAGTCTGAAAAGGATATTCCATAGATGAGCAACATCACTGTCACCTGGGAACTTGTGAAAAATGCACATTCTTGGAGCCCACCTCAGCCTCAAACAGACATTGTGGGCAGGGGCTCAGCACTCTGCGTTTTAACAAGGTGATACCCTCAAGTTCGAGAGCCCTCCCTGCAGGAAGATAAAAGAGCCTTAATTCCCCCATTTTCTCTCACTTGCATCTTTCCCACTCTCTAATAACCAGGGTTAATCCCTGAAGTGACCTTGGGTGATGGCACTCTGTCGTTCAGTATCCAGCCACCAGGGGTTTGTAGTACATCGCGTCATCATTCCGGGCCCGCAGGTTTACCCAGCCCGGCTCCGGCGTGCGCTCTGCTCACACTCTTTCTCTCTCTGTTGCAGGACCATTCGCCCCAACAGTGCGGTGCGCTCCATCTACAAAGCTTCGGGCTGTTCCGATAACCCCAACCACCATGTCAACTACCTGGAGCACGTAGTTGTGCGCATAACCATCACCCATCCCAGGAGGGGAGACCTGGCCATCTACCTGACCTCGCCCTCAGGAACCAGGTCCCAGCTTTTGGCCAACAGGTACTGTGATGGCCTCTGGCAACATCAACACTCAGCTGCTGTGGAAGGTAGAAAGCGTCACCTGCTCCTGACTCACTAAGAACTAAGGGGGCACGTAGATGTCAGGATGGGACAGTCAGAGCTCTTACTGCCCATACATAAACGAGGGAGTGCCGGGGCGCCGGGGTGGCTCAGTCGGTTGAGCGGCCGACTCTTGATTTCGGCTCAGGTCATGATCTCGGGGTCCTGAGATCAAGTCACACATCGGGTTCCGCACTCAGCAGGGAGTCTGCTGGAGATTTTCCTTCCCTCTCCCCCTGCCCCTCCCCCCTCTCTAAAATAAATAAATAAAATCTTTAAATAAATGAGGGAATGTAAAACTGCCTAGAATCTGTAGGAATGGGACAGTGTAACATTTAATACTTGGGTAATATCGCAAGGAGGCCACAGAAAAATTGAAGGCCACCTGTTGTTTATCCTAACAAGGAAATGCAGAGCACTAACTCCTTAGGCCTTTGAGATTCTCTCCCCTGCCCAAAAATGTCTGCTGGAATTTGTTACAGATTAACTGAATCCTCTTGCCCAGGCCTTGTCCAACCTTAAAGGAAGTTCTATTTGTTTTAAAACAGGTGTGGGCAAATTTTTTCTGCAAAGAGCCAGTTAGTAAATGTTTTGAGCTTTGCAGGCCATGTTTCTGTGGCAACAGTTCAGCTCTGCCTCAGAGCCCAAAAGCCCCTAGGCAGTGTGAATGAATGGGCATGGCTGTTTTCCAATAAAACTTTATTTGCAGAAACAGGCAGCAGGCTGGATTTGGCTTGAAGACTATAATTTGCTGACCCGTATTCTAAAGGTTGGCCCTTTAGTCTTTATTGCTCAAGAGGGTACTCAGTTTCTCTTCTTAGCCTCTTGCCTTTTCCCTGCTTCCTCCAAACACTGAACCAGGAGGTAGCTGTATTGCCACGATCCTGCTGAAAGGCCAGAATGTCCTAGCACCAGTTTTCTTTTGCTCCATAGGTTTTTGAATGGTTGGGAGCATGGGCAGCAGGTGCTTGTCAAAAAGTGGGACCAGAATGGGAAGATGTCAGGTTGTCTTAAACACTTCATCCCCTCTATGGTTCTAACATATGAACCACAGCCAGAAGCCTAATTGCTTCTTCAGTTTGATCTTTTTTTCCTCCAAGACGAACACATAATGGGAGCAAAAGTCTTATTATGAATGGCATATAGAGTCCAAATGAGAGCGAGGCTTTTATGCAGACATAACCACCTGCCCACATAGCCAGGTGGCCGGGGCGGTGGTGGGCTTTGTTAGGACTGACAACAGACCAGCGGGGTTGAGAGGCCAGGGGCTGATGCAATCCTGCAGAACCAAAAGCAAGACTGAGCCAGTGCCAGTTGCTCTGCAGAATCCCCAACTTCATCTGCTCTAGCACTGGGAGAGAGAGAGAGAGCACTAGCAAATTCTGGATGACAGTAACTGGGAGTCCAGAACCCGAAATCTTTCATTACATTTGACCTCTGTGCTTGGCCGACTCGTGTTCTTTAAAGCCTAACGTCCTCCACTGAGGCGTGGGAAAACGTGGGCTTCGTGCCTTGTGCAGCGCAGCTCTGCCAGGATAAGTGGATGCAGGCGCAGAGAAGGGCAGGCTGCTTTGGCCTCCGATTCCTGGACGTGCCACCCATGCCGTGCCCCCGCCACAAGCAGTGGTCAGTGCTTCTTTCCAGCGGACGACGCCTTCTGACGGACAATTCTGCGACTAGGAGGTCACCCCAGCTGTTGCTACTGAAGTGAGGGAAGACCTTTTCCTCCGTTGTTCTTTCTTTTCCTTTGCCTTCATTCATCTGCGTTAAACTTGAAGGAGTATCCGGGTGAAACACGGCGGCTCAAAGGTTTGCCTCACGCATGTGCGGCTGAGGCCCCTTGGTCGTCCTCTGTTCTAGAAAAACCGTCCCTTCACGGTCGCTGGGGGCTTGGAAAACTCGGAGTCCTCAGGCTTTCTGGGCTTTTCCTGCCTACTGCAGCGTTTCTAGTTGGCCTGCCCCCGGAGTGACTTCAGGCAGGAGGCTGGGAAGCAGAGGGGTGGTGGCCCCGTCGCCGGATTTGGTGGACTGTCGCAGCGCGGGCTTCAGTTCGGCACACACGCGCAGGAGCCGACACCTGCTTGGCTCTTTGCCGAGTGCCCAACCCAGCACTGCGGCCTGACCTATGCCAGAGAAAAGAAGCACGTATTTCAGATGCGCAGTGACCAGCGGTGGTGAAGTTGACCTCAGTCTCTGCCATCAAGACCCCCCTGGGAATAAAGTTGCGACCCGGCGTGTGACTTCTCTGGAACGTTTTCTCCAAGGGCTGCTCTTTTGTATGTGTTTCATCTCAGTGCTGAAAGGAAGTAGCCACCCAAAGGCGGTGGGCGAACCGGAGGGGCAGAAGGGCTGGAGACACCCTGGAGGTGTAAAGGATGTTATGAATTCATTTGTCCGCCGTTCCCCAAACACATCACTCTAAACAGCTGACCCCTGAAGCCTAAAACAGTGGCACCCAGTCCCAAAAGCACGTGTGGCGTCCGGGGCCAGACTGCCCTGACCTTGCTGTGCTTGATGCTAGGAGCAACCCTTCAACCGAAGCCGTTAAGGACCGTTTCTTTTGGCATTTTTTTTTTCCTTCTAGCATGTTCTGAAGCTTTCCTTTTATGAGAGGAAATCTCTACTCAGAACCTTTTAGTCTCTGACCTAGGGGCCAGGAGTCTTTGTGTCCCCTCACCTTGGCCCTGTTTCAAGGCCCCTTGCCTGGATTAGGAGCTGAGGACGAGCAGCATAGGAGAGGGGTGGGGACAGGCTGAAGGGAAGGCCTACTCCCCTCCTGGTGTCCTTCACGTTGGCCTGCAAGGCAATAATACTTCCTCAAGGAAAGGTGGATAGGTCAGGTTCTGGAAGGAAATTGTGTGTCGGAGATTATTAGTGAAAGCAATAAATGGTTCCCCGGTTGGACACTTATCTTTCTTCCAAAGAAGTCAAGATTTCTAAGGAGGACCACTTAGAAAAGTGGTAAAGCAAAGAATAGCATGTAGTTGAAAGAGACCTCTCAACGGTCACAACAGGAAGTTTCCTTATGTGAGGGGTCATTTGAGATGAAGAGGTAGAGCTGAGGTGGCCGAGAGCCGTCCCCGCGTGTTTCAGTGCTGTTGATCCCCACAACACAGCAATTCCTTGGGAATCGATTTTCCACAAGGTCGCTGAGCACTTGACCCGTGTGGGCCGTCTGGAACCCCTCAGTACCTCCCCGTCCCAGCTGACGGGCACCTGCTAGAACTCCCAGAACTCCCGTGGAGAACAGCTGTTGGAGGAAGCATCTGCAGGTGCTGGGCCCTGGAAGGCACTCGTAGCATTCAGAACTAGTCCAACATGAGCGTGCCCCATTAGCCCAGCGTGCGAGCACCCCTGGCAAGCCAGGTTGATGGTGTAGTGGGTGGGAGCACTGAGTTCACAGAGTAGGCCTGGAATGGGCACATGGTTCGTTTCTTCCAATCCCTTTGTTTTTTCCTGCCCTCCTGGTCCTCCCCTTGGCCTGTGCACCCTGCCTCACAAAAAGCCACACTGAATAATCAGCACAAATGCTTTACTTCTGGGGAGAATCTGGAGGTCTTGCATTGGCCAGGGGGCATCTAGGAGGGCTTGGGTTCCTTTAACATGTTTTTAGACAGGCACAACTTTAGATTTAGCCTTTTTTTTTTTTTTTATACCACCACGTAGTCAAATTCTGCCTGTGTAAAAGTTTTCCAACAAAAGCTGGCTTCATCAGATTCTTCCTTCAGCTGCATTTGTTAGAATTATGAAAAGCGGTCTTTCTCCCCCTGAATCTCCCCTTCCCCACAAGTCAGTGAGCTTGAGATTTAGTGTAGCTGTAGTGGCCCTCTGTTCCAAATTTTGGCCTCTGACTGAAAGCTGAAACGTTTTTCCTTTTCTTTCTAAATTTGATTACATACGAATAACTCTGCTTCCAATTATGGTCTTAAGTAGAAAGAAGGTACACTTTCGAGTCTGCAAAGCCTATAGGCTTCTATAATTAAATATGTTTAAATGTGATGTTTATGTTTGAGTCATTTCTGTTGCTGCCCAAATGTTCAATGACAGACCATTGACATTTGTGAAGTATCATGCCAACTAAGTGCATTTGTGGCTTGCAGTAAAAATTAGACTTCTGCAGTGGAAATTCTACATTCCAATAAGGCCTCACCATGAGAACCCTCTTCCTTGCCCCAAAAGAAGGTAGAGCCTTTGGCGTTAGAGCTGGGCTTGTCTGGATTTCACCAATTTTTACGTTCGACTTTGAAAAGCAAGTCTCTCATCTAGAAAACAGATGCCGTGGTTAGTGTCCTCCTCACCTGGTTGTCACAAGCATTGAGTAGGATCACATACAGCAAGTCCTTAGCACCGCTTCTGGAACACACAGTAAGCACTTAATAAGTGCTAACCCTTATTTACACAGTGCTTCTTAAAGCACCTGGTGGATGACTCCATCAGACACAGAGGGCTGGGCCCCTCTCCCAGAGCCTGATCCTGTAGGTCTGGGTGAGGTCCATGAATTTGCATTTCTAAGAAGCTCCCAGGTGATGCGGAAGCTGCCTGTCCACAGACCACATTTTCAATCTCACCAATTTAAAAGATCACCCAGCTTTTCATACAACATTCTTGTTATGTTCGTGTCCTCAAAAGACTTGTGGGCAGAACACTGCTGGGTACTGGGCGAGTAATTTACAAAAGCGTCTGTAATCGAAAACAGATACTTAGATAAAAGCCATCCACTCTTAAATGGAATAAATCTGCAAGATTATGTGCGTACATCATAGATCCACAAGAAGGAATGCCTTTGGGGCCTCGTCAGTAAGTAATAGCATGCAGGTTGAAAGTTTCTTTTTTCTTAAAAACTCATCTTTTTAGGTATTCCAAAGCTCTCGAACGAGTACCTCTCTCTCAATCTTTCTTAAAAAAGTAACTTCGATGAGGAGAGACAGGAAAACTTAATAGTGCATTTTAAATACCCTATTTCAGAAGCACATCATTTAAAACTTGCAAAAGCGAAACAGCTAAAGAAAATAAAAAACTGAATGACAATTAAGCCAAATGAGCGCTTCAAGCATTCGGTAAGTTCTACGTTAAATTACGATAAAGCCCTAAAAAGAAAATAATAATTAAGTATTTTAAGAGAGAAAGAAAGAAAAAGGCAACTTCTAAAAATACCTGTCTAAAGTCTAATTCTGTAATGAACATAAATACTGTTTGGGGAGTAGTAGATGATTCTGAAATTAAGATCCCTTTATAACTTTAGAAATAATTATATGATAACACATAGCTGTCAGTACTTATAAAATGTCTTGTTATTTAGTTGCCATAACACCACTGAAGAATGTTGTAGCCTTGACACATTGGCTAGACTCTTTAAGTGAAAGGGGGAAGAAAGCTTACACTAATTATATGAGTTATTTCCTGAGTTAATTCCTCAGAAGGATGTACTACACTTAATGGCCGTCTTTTCTACCAGGCTTCATCCAAAGTAATTTATTTGAAAACCGCTCACAGGGATAGGGCTGTGGGGCACCATTTTAATAACTGGATGCATAATTTTTGCTACCACAGGCATATATCATTTCATCGAGCACATGATTACGAAGTCAACTTTGACAGGGTTTCGCTGCAACAGGGGATGTGGATCGGCCATGGAGTTAATTACTCCAGCCTTCTGCACACTGGCCCTGCTTCATTGACATTTTATCCATGCTAATAACGTTGGCATGTGTTGGATTTCTTCACTGTTGGCCCAGCGCAGACGTTCAGACTGGGCATTGGACTTTTTAGTTGATAAATGGAGACCACACAATGAGAATCTCTTTAGCTGGTGTCCAGTGCTTTGACACTTGCTTGTCTTGAGCAAGGGTGTTGTTTGCAACACAAATCGAATCTACTACCAGTGTTACCTTCTGTGATATACAGATGAGGCCGGGTTCATCACTGTTACGATGCCAAAAAATCGGGAATAGTTTAAGTGCTTAATCAGAAGAAAATAAAGAACAGGGTGAGATTAGAAACGTGAATGGCCGGCTAGTCGAAACAACAGCAGTAATCAGTGTCTATTTCTTTCCCCATCAACTCCTTTAGCAAAATGCAATGATCGTGTTTGGCTGCATTTTTAATTCGTCTCCTCAACTTTTATGTCCACATGAAATTAATGAGCATTCAGCTCTGCATAAAGGGAAGAGACCGGGGTGGGCAGCCGCTTAGCCAGATAGACAAAGCCCATTTATATTCGGGCTTTGAAACACTTATTTGAATGCTGATTATGGATATTTCTTCTTGGAACCCGGTTTATATTTAATTTGGGTTCCAAATGTGATTTAAAAGTGATTGGCAGCAATGGCATGATTTTCAAAGGTGGACAGGAAAGGGTAGAAGGGGAGAAACACAGGGTCCGCTAATCCAGCAGTCAAATAATTGAACCATGAGTAATTAGAAGTTGGCTACGGTTGTGGAAACAAGACTGCCCCTCATGTGATGGCAGCCTCAAGTCTCCTTTGTAGTTTTTAGACTTGAGGCAATGAGCCAAATGCTCTGTCTAAACTGTTTGGGAATTGCTTTTAAGTTTGGCACTCTTGGAAAGGTATTATGTGACAAGTTGTTGCTTCGGTGCCCTCAAATGGCACAATGGCTTCAGTGATCTCGAGCCTAAATCAGAACTCTGTGGGCTGAGAAGTGGTTCTAGATTGGTTTCTGCCTCCACGCATGTCTCTGTCAACATACTCCCTTTTGTAACATCTGTCTGAGAGGAAGGGAGATTTGAAAAGCCTCCTCCTTCCCCACCGCTGTTTCTCCTTTTCATCCAACATACCCACCCTCTGGGTTTATGTGAAGGACTCTTTGTATGTAAGTCAGTTATATGATGAGCCAGCAATTTCTTCCTGGCCAAGTCTAGTTTTAAGCCATAAGCTTATGAACCAAGCCCTGTTGTGGTAGTGCATGCATTATAGGATCTCCACAAAATGCACCATCCCTAATCTAATGAAGCTCTTTAATTGATCTTTTATACTAGGAAGACATTCATGTAAAGGAGCCACTACTTCCATCCCTGTTACCATGAGGGTAAGCCACCGCATCCAATATGGTTCTCATTGAAACTCCACACTCCTCTGTTCAGAACTAACCCTTATAAATAGTATACAGATATTCTGAAAAGGGAAAAAGGGGCTTCTCACTCATAGTAGCTTTGAAAATCACTTCCTACCATTAACCCCATTATGGGAATTAACAAAACATATTTGAACATCCCAGAGATCTGGGATGTTCTCCAATAAAGAAATCTGTTCGACTCTACCTCAGCCTTTCTCGAATTTTCCAACCGTGGGACACTTTGACAATGCCGATAAGTACTTGCCCATTTTCTTCTTCTAAGGGCTGAGGAACACATAGAGGTGATTTTCCTGTTTATTGAGTTTCTCTAGGGAAAGCTGGTGAGTGTCTGCCATTTACCTAATACATTGCAGTTATGCCAACCAACCCTTCAGTTTCAGGATCCAGCTGTCATTTTAGAGGGATCCTCAGACATATTGATAGAACGCTTTTGTATGTGAAAAATCAGAATTCTAGTATATTATAAGGAGATTAAACTGGTTATTTTTGGTTTCGGAAGGGCACTTTTTCTCCCAATGGGAAGATATACATAGAATGTCAGATTATACCCACCAATTTCCTTGGTGAGCACGAAATTAAAGCAAGGAGAGTTGATTGCATGTTTTGAATAGCCATCAACATCCGGTTGCCATGAACTTTGTCTCCACGGAAGGACAGTTATGTCCCGGTAACTGGACATGGTTGTTCCTAAGACCATACTAGGGTTATTTTTGCCTCTCTGTTTGCCTCTCTAGCTCTCAAATTCTTTCTCTAGATTTATTATTTTTTCAACAGAAATAATTGATGCACATAATTTTTTTAAGTATTCTTAAAAAAAAATCAGTTTCTTGCCCCATCTTTTAGTTTTTAACCCTCTATGTCCCATCTCTATAGAAATCTTTAAGTAGGGTCTACACCCAACATGGGTCTTGAACTCATAACCCCAAGATCAAGAGTTGCATGTTCTGGGGCGCCTGGGTGGCTCAGTCATTAAGCATCTGCCTTCATCTCAGGTCATGATCCCAGGGTCCTCCTGGGATTGAGCCCCGCGTCAGGCTCTCTGCTCAGTGGAAAGCCTGCTTCTCCCTTTCCCACTCTTCCTACTTGTGTTCTCACTCTCATTGTCTCTCTCTCTCTGTTAAATAAATAAATAAAATCTTTAAAAGAGCAAAAAGAGTTGCATGTTCTACTGACTGAGCAGCCAGGCACCCCTCTATAGAAATCTTCTTAATATTTCTTTGGGTCGTCAATTCTATATAATGTGCTTATATAAATGATATGCCTCTTTCTTCATGTGCTCGTTTTATACGTTATCTATTGACATCTCCTTATTCTTTTTTTTTAATTTATTTATTTGACAGAGACAAAGGGAGAGAGGGAACACAAGCAGGGGGAGTGGGAGAGGGAGAAGCAGGCTTCCCACTGAGCAGGGAGCCTGATGCGGGGCTCGATTCCAGGACCCTGGGATCATGACCTGAGCCGAAGGCAGATGCTTAACCGACTGAGCCACCCAGGCACCCTGACATCTCTTTATTCTTAATGAGGATTTTGTTTTCTTTTATTTAATGTTTTCATATTTTGTATCCCTCAGGATTTTATCACAGGAAACAATTCTAGCTATTTCAAGCAGAAAGAGATTTCATATAGGGAATTCAGAGCTTAGAAAACCATTAGAAGAGCTAGAAGAGTAGAATGTAGGCTGGACTTCCAGGCGTGACTCCCTGGACTGGTTAAGATGAGTGGCAGGGTCTTTTTACTGAGGCATAATTTACACACAATACAATTCACTTTTTAATGTGAGTAACTTAATGAGTTTTGGCAAATATTGTTGTATAACCATACACTGTTATTTTCAAGATATAAAACAATTCTATCACCCCCAGAACTTCTACCATGCCCCCTCTTCCCTCCCAGCCCCTGGCATCCACTGATCTATTTCTGTTTATATTCCTTTTCTAGAATGTCATATAAATTGAGTCCTACAGCACGTAATCTTTTGTGTCTGACATTTTTTCATTTAGCTTAAATGCTTTTGAAACTAATTCATGTTATTGCATTTATTAGTAGTTCAACAGTTTTTATTACTGGGTAGTATTTTGTTGTATGAATATACCAGAACTTGATTACCCATTCACTTGTTGAGGGACATTTGAGTTGTTAACAGTTTTCAAGGATTACAAATAAAGCTGCTGTGAACGTTCATGTGGAGGTCTTTGTGTGAACATATGTTTTCACTTCTCGGGTAAATGTCTGGGAGGGGGATTGTGGAGTTACATGGTAAGAACTACCAAACTTTTCAGAGCAGTTGTACCATTTTGCATTCCCATTAGCAGCTTAAGAGAGTTTCAGTTGCTCCACATCTTTAATACTTGGTACTATCACTCTTGTGCGTAGAGTCATAGCCTGGTTTTCGGATACCCAAATGTTTACCCCTTCCAGATTTGCTATTACAAGGCCATCCCAGTGCCTATTTGCCTGTGGTAGAACAAAGACATGCGTTTGGGTCTACTAATTGTCAATCTCCAGGAGGAAGACAGCCTCCAGGATTGAGCTGAACCTGCTGATGGATACAAAAAGATGACTGATCACGGTCTCAACTTGAGCTTCACTGGATTCTAAATAACATACAAAACAATGCTTTCTGATTCTCTCACAGGCTCTTTGATCATTCTATGGAAGGATTTAAAAACTGGGAGTTCATGACCATTCATTGCTGGGGAGAGCGAGCCACCGGTGACTGGATCCTTGAAGTTTACGATACCCCTTCCCAGCTGAGGAACTTCAAGACTCCAGGTAAGAATTCCCTTTTCTATCATTTGGTTTACTCTGCAGAAACAAATAATGGAATGTATTTTGGCCTGGAAGTGTTTTTACATTTATATATCAACATCATCCTTTTTCATGTGATCCTGTAGTTTGAGTATCTGTATGTATTCCAGTTCTCAACATTACCATTTGAGTAATAATAATTGAAGAATTAAAGAATAAATGTTTTGATATGAGTACAGGATAAAATGTGGCAGCTATTGATTGATGTTTCAGAATATAAGATCCACATCTCTAACCAGCTTTCCCCCCCGGAAGCAAGCCAGCCTCATCTACCTGCAGTAGGCTAAATTGCACGGTCATGAGAAGAGACAGTTTCCTTAGTTATCTGTTCCTCTGAATTTATTCTAAAATTAATTTTCAGTGCACACAAGACATTGAGCTTGACCTGTGCCAGCTAAACTGGTTACCAGTAAAGAAAATGAATGATGGTATGCTGCCCCATGTGAGCCTAAGAGCTAAGGAAAAGGAATGCTTTCTACATAAGTAAAATGTGGAAATTACGATGTTAACAGAAGCACATGGTCTGTCTCCATCCTCATGCTGATACATGAAGCTTGTTTGTAACTCAAAGTAAGGGAAAGTACAAATGTAGCTTGGGGCTGGAGACTGAACAGGTTTTCACAGCACCCTGTGTTGTCCACAATGGAGCCCTACGTAGTACTTGGCTCAGTGGCTGGTGATCTGTTTGACAAGCACCCCAGCTCCCACCCAGCCATGGACACATCTGCAACCATCTAACAAATCTGTGCTTCTCAGTGCTCTCTCTCTGCAGTCCACCTGCAGAAGATCCAGGCCTGAGGGCATGTTCGGACTGATGGATATCCATTTCTAGCCCTCTGCTGATTGCAGAATAAATTAACTTAGACATTCTGTAATTCACTGTAAGGGTGTGTATTACTCAGGTAACCGTGGGTTGCACAGGGCAAAGGAGGCGCACAGCAGAACACAGGAATGAAGCATGCATTTGCCATACTTTTGCCCACCAGTCAGGGAAAGGTACTCATTCTTAGAGATCTGTTTTTGGCCACGCATTTGGCGATCTCTTCTCCCTAATTCTGTGACGTGTTTCCTCTGTGTTGCCACAGCAGACCCACGCTCAGGGAGGTTAAAACCAGCATGGTGGCAAGGTCATAAAGAATCAGGATAAAAGATTTGTTAAAGAGTATCCAGGTCCAGCTCACCTCCAGCATGCATCATGAATACAATGGTTGCCAAAGTGTGATCGAGAAATCAAATGTTTGTCAACAAGGCAGGATTGATTGAAAACATTAAAATAAACTAGACCCTGATTTCTAGATGCTTTCAGTGGTCCCTAATCTACTTAGTCCTCAGGACATTCCTCTCCCCTCCCTTCCTCTTTCCAGGCCATGCTCAATGCTCATGTGATAGAGGTATACTGGGTCATGGCACGCAGGGTCAATGGTGGCATGGTGACATGGCTCTGCCGCCCGACCCCAGTGGATCCATCGGCAGGTGACAGTTAAGGGCTCTTCTGTCTCAAGAGATCCCAGGGAAATAATCACTGTCCAAATGTGGCGGTTTTGTAGCAAGGGGTGGGGGCGGGGGGTGCAGCCTATGGCACAGACATGGGGGTACACTGTCTGTTGAGAATATAAAACAGTTATAAAACTGACTAAAAGTGACTCTCCTCTTTATTGTCACCATGCAACTCTAAAGAATGTCGGTGACAAAATGCTCCTCCCCACAAGAGGAAACTGCCCCTTGGGGCACACTCCTAGTAGGCCTGGTATTTATGTGCAAGGGTCAGGGGCCATGAATGTAAAGCTCTCTGCTCTCCAGGAGTTCAGAGTCCCTCCAGAGTTGGCGATGATCATCTGTGTTCGAGGCTCTCAGCAGTAGCTCAGATCATCTAGAGTTGTCTCTTTCACAGCATTGGCTTCTCTTTATGCTATTTAAATGTTCACATGTAATTCCAGTCACTTCTAGTCATTTTACAGATGTTCTTTTCTGCCAGAAGAGAGATACCCTGATGCTATTACTGGCCTGGGGTCAGGAGGCTTTGATAGATTCACAGTCTTTGGATATCCTTCCTTTAACCAAACTTCCAGTTTAGGATTAGTCACAACATTGAAAAGGGACTTCTACTTCTATGTGTGTGCACGTGGGTGTTTCTGTCATTGTTTCTGTGGTGTACAGCCCTATGGACAGTTTCTCTAATTAATGAGGGATTTCTTTAGCAAGCTAATAGAAATTCAGTTGGAGATGTAGAATTTTCTAGCCCGATTAAATGGTAGAATCATTCCCAAGTATAAAGATTCCTGATTCCAAACTGAGCTCCTATTTCTTTATTGTTTCTTCCCATTTGTTTATTATTAAAACACATATTAAGGATTTTTTAATTGAAGTGTAGTTGACACACGTTACATTAGTTTCAGGTGTACAACATGGTGATTAGACAAGTCTGTGTTACGTTGTGCTCACACAAGTGTGGCCACCATGGGCACCACACAACACTCTTACGTTACCATTGATTCCATTCCCTGTGCTGTCCCTTTCATCTCTGTGACTTGTTCATTCCAAAGCTGTAAGCCTGAACCTCCCACGCTCCTGCATTGATGTTTCTCATCCTCCCATCCCTTTCCTCTCAGGCAACCACCAATTTGTTCTATGTATTTATGAGTGAAATAGTACGGTATTTGTGTTTCTCTGTTTCACTTATCTCACTTAGTATAATCCTTCTGGATTCATCCATGTTGTCACAAATGGCAAGATTTCATTCCTTTTTATGGCTAATACTCCAATGTGTGTGTGTGTGCTAATACTCCAACGTGCGCACACACACACACACACACACACACACACACACACACACACCAAATCTTCTTTATCCATTCATCAATCAGTGGACACTTTGGTTGCTTCTACGTCTTGGCTATTGTAAATAATGCTGCAATAAACATAGGGGTGCATATATCTTTTTTTAAAGGTTTATTTATTAGAGAGAGCACACTAGTGTGGGGAGGGTCAGGAGGAGAGAGAGAAGCTCCAGCCGACTTCACATTGAACACAGAGCCCAAGACGGGGCTCAATCCCAGGACCCCTAGATCATGACCTGAGCTGAAATTAAGAGTCGGATGCTCAACCGACTATGCTACCCTGGTGCCCCTCCATCTATCGTTTTGAATCAGTGTTTTTGTTTTTGGGGGTAAATATCCAGTAGTGAAATTACTGAATTGTAGGATATTTCTATTTTTAATTTTCTGAGGAAGCTCCATCCTGTTTTCCAGAGTGGCTGCCCCAGTTTGCATTCCTACCAAGAGTGCATGAGGCTTCCTTTTTCTCTGCATCCTCAACAACACTTGTTGTATCTTGTCTTTTTTATTTTAGCCCATCAGATTGGTGTGCGGTGATATCTCACTGTAGTTTTGATTTGCATTTCCCTGATGATTAGTGATGTTGAGCATCTTTCAGTGTGTCTGTTGGCCATATCTGTGTCTTTGGAAAAGTGTTTATCCAGCTTCTCTGCCCATTTCTTATCAGATTGTTTGGGTTTTTTGTGTCAGGCTATCTAAGTACTTTATACATATTAACCCCTTATCAGATATTTCATTTGCAAATATCTTATATTCATGAGGTTGCCTTTTTGTTTTGTTGATAGTTTCCTTTACTGTGCAAAAGCTTTTTAGTTTGGTGTCGTCCCAATAGTATATTTCTGCTGTTGTTTCTTTTTCCTAAAGAGGCATATCCATAAGTATGTTGCTAAGGGCAATGTTTAAGAAATTACTGGCCATGTTTTCTTTTAGGAGATTTATGGTTTCAGGGCTCACATTAAGTCTTTCATCTATTTGGGGTTTATTTTTGTGTCTGGGGTAAGAAAGCCTCCCAGTTTAATTCTTCAGCCTGCAGCTGTCCAGTTTTTCCCAACACCATTTATTGAAGAGACTGTCTTTTCCCCATTAAATATTCTTGAATTCTTTGTTATGGATTAATTGACTATATAAATGTGGGTTTATTTCTGGGCCTTCTATTCTATTCCATTGATCTATGTGTCTGTTTTTGTGCCAGTACCATAGTGTTGTGATTACTCCAGTTTTGTAGTATATCTTGAAGCCTGGGATTGTGATGCCTCCAGCTTTGTTCTTCTTTCTCAAGATTTCTTTGGCTATTCAGGGTCTTCAGTAGTTTCGCACAAATTTTAGTATTATTTGTATGGACATTTTAGCAATATTAATTCTTCTATGAGCGTGGACTATTTTGCCATTTGTTTGGTCATCTTCAATTTCTTTCATCAGTGTTTTATAGTTTTTAGACTCTAAATCTTTCACCTCCTTGGTTAAGTTTATCCCTAGGTGTTTTATTCTTTGTGGTGCAATTGTAAATGGGATTGTTTTCTTAATTTCTCTTTCTGCTACTTCATTATTAATGTATAGAAAGGCAACAGATTTCCAAATATTAATTGTGTATCTTGCAACATTACTGAATTCATTTATTCTAGAGTTTTGATGGGATCGTTAGGGTTTTGTATATATAATGTCATGTCATCTGCAAATAGTGACACTTTCACTTCTTCCTTACCAATTTGTATGTCTTTTATTTCTTTCTCTTCTCTGTTTGCTACAGCTAAAACATCCAGTACCATGTGTTGACTAAAAGTGGCAAGAGTGGGGGCGCCTGGGTGGCTCAGTTGGTTAAGCGACTGCCTTCGGCTCAGGTCATGATCCTGGAGTCCCGGGATCGAGTCCCACATCGGGCTCCCTGCTCAGCAGGGTGTTTGCTTCTCCCTCTGACCCTCTTCCCTCTCGTGCTCTCTATCTCTCATTCTCTCTCTCTCTCGAATAAATTAAAAAAAAAAAAGTGGCAAGAGTGGGCATCTTTGTCTTGTTTCTGATCTTAAAGGAAAAGCTCTATTTTTCATCATTTAGTATGACATTAGCTAGGGGTTTGTCATATATGGCCTTCATTATGTTGAGGTATGTCCTTCTAACTCCACTTTGTTGAGGGTT